CATTTTGCCTTGGGGCTTTTCACCTTTCTTTCTTTATGTCTTAGTTTCCTGCTGTCTCCATGACTGGCCTGTGGCTGCCTGGCTTCTGGCCCTGGGTGTGTCCCTCTCGTTCTCCCTCGTTCCTCATTCCTTCTCCTTTCCTCTCATTCTCTCCTCCTTCTCCTCTTGTTCCTCTCGAGCCTAGATTCCTCCTCCGATTTATTCTCTCTGCCCACAAGCCCCGCCTATCCCTCTTCTGCCTAACTATTGGCCACTCAGCTTTTTATCAGACCAATCAGGTGTGTCTTAGGCAGGCAAGGTGAAACAAATGCAGCACATCTTTACATAGTTAAAGTAATATTCTGCAGCATAAACAAATGTAATATATCTTTGCACAGTTAAAGTAATATTCCACAACAGTCACAGACAGAAACCATAGCAACTTTATTGACGTGTAATTCACTGGCCATAAAATTGACCCTTTTAAAGCACACAGTTCGGTGGTTTTTAGTATTCACGGGGTTGTGCAACCATCACCACAGTATAATTCTAGAGCATTTTCATCACCCCAAAAGGAAACCCCAAGCCTATTGGCAGCAGCTCCCCATCACTCCCTCACCCACCTCACCCAACCCCTAGTGACCCTTAATCTACCTCTGTATGGAGGTATTCTGATCAGTCCACATAAATGCAATCATGCAGCATGTGTAGTCTTGTGTGTGTGAGACTTCCTTTATTAGTTAGTAAAATATTTTCAAGATTTATCCATGTCGTAGTGAATATCAGTACTTTGATCCTTTTCATGACTGAATAATATCCTCTGACCTAGATATACCACATTTTATCTATCCATTCATTGATGGATGCTTTATTTTTTTTGGTATTATAAATAATATTGCTGTGAGCATTCATTTACAAGTTTTTGTAGCAATAAGATTGAATGTATTTAGGTGTGTTCTAACTAGGAAGGGAATTGTTATATTCTGATAATTCCACATGTAACCATTTGAAGAACACTCCCGTTACAGTGTTCATGATTCCTATTCTTCTACATCCTCTTAACACTCTTTTCTTTTTGGCATTTTATTTATTTATTTATTTAGACTTATTTAACTTTTAATTATGCATATATGTGTGTACATGTGTGGGTCTGTGGATATTTGAGTGCAGGAGCTCACAGAGTTCAGAAGAGAGTGTCAGACCCCCAGGGAGCTGGAGTTACAGGTGGCTGTGAGCTGCCACACATGGGAACTAAACTTGGGTTGAAGTATTTGCCGGGTGGTGGTGGCACACGCCTTTAATCCCAGCACTCAAGAGGCAGAGGCAGGCAGATCTCTGTGAGTTCGAGGCCAGACTGGGCCATGAAGTGAGTTCCAGGAAAGGCACAAAGCTACACAGAGAAACCCTGTCTTGAAAAACCAAAAAGTTACCTCTCATTGGTCAAAAGCACATTCCTAGGGTAAGCCATAAGTAGCTGAGGCATTTGCCATGGGCAGCACAAGGTTTCAAGGTTTCAGGAGTAAAACTGTGACCAGAGGGAGGGGGTGCAGTGCCCAGTGTGACAAACTTTGAGACAAAGCTCTTTATCAACAGACTTGGCAAGTGAAGAATTGGCATGCTTTTCTTAGGTACTTTGTGTAATAACCTTGGTTAGACACCTGCAACTCTGATCTTGTGCGTAATTGTAAAGTTTTAAACTTATGATCTATTTACAAAGGCCTTTAGTCTAGTTTGAACTTGCTCTGAGGTTAAAAAAAAAAATGAGCTAATTGTGTGCAGTTAGTCTTAAGATGAGGAGAAATTATTATTTTCTTGTGTTAGTCTGAGCAAAAGGAACAGTGTGGCTTTTAAGTGTCTACAGTCCTCGTGGGACAATAGATCTAGTTATGAAGCATATCCTAGTATATTTTCTATATATCAAAATTATTCCGCTAAATGAGAAGTCATCTTGCTGACCATCCACAAATATGTGTGCCTATAACATTGAGATGTAATCATGAGATTCCATGCACACATTACATGAAAATGCATGGCAATGGGAAGACACCATAGCTGTTACTGCACAAGTGGAATTACAGATGAGATCCAAGTTTTCAGAGTCAGTGATCTGTAAGCCTTGCTGACGGGGTACCCCATCTGAGAATCATTCCTCCGGTGGGTTGAGATCCAAGTTTTCAGAGTCAGTGACCTGTAAGCCTTGCTGACGGGGTACCCCATCTGAGAATCATTCCTCCGGTGGGTTGAGATCCAAGTTTTCAGAGTCAGTGACCTGTAAGCCTTGCTGACGCCGGGGTACCCCATCTGAGAACCATTCCTCCAGTGGGTTGAGATCTGAATTATCAAATGCTATAAGCTGTAATTACATTGTGGCCCAAATAGGTCCTGACATATATGTAAGATTAAGTGTGTGTTGGGCCGTGGTGTTGCACACCTTTAATCCCAGCACTCACGAGGCAGAGGCAGGCAGATCTCTGAGTTTGAGGCCAGCCTGGTCTACATAGAAAGATCCAAGACAGCCTGTGATACACAGAGAAACCCTGTCTCAAAAAACAAAAACAAAAATGAATGGCAAGTGTGGGACTGGGGTGGAAGCTCAGTGGTAAAGGGCACAGGCTGCTCTTGAAGAGGACCAGGTTCAATTCCCACACGCACTGGTGGTTCTAGGGGACCCAACACTCTCTTCTGGCCTCTTGAACACCAGGCACACACATGGTGCACAGACAAACATATGGGCAAAAAACCCACATACCCAAAATAAATAACAAATTTTTTTTTAAATGACAAGTATGAAGGCAGGATTTCCAAATAATCTAAACTTTACAAGCTTCACATTGAGTGTGTGTTCATGAAAACATGTGTGTCTGTGTGAGTGTGTGAGAGTGGGAGTGTTTGTGACTATGTGTGAGTTGTATGTATATGTGTTTATGTGTAGGAGTATATATGGGTGAATGTGTGTCAGTGTGTGTGTCTTTGTGTGTATGTAGGTGGATGTGGGTGTGTCTTTATATGATTGTGTGTGTTACTGTGTTAGTAAGTTTCTGTATGTGTGAGTGCATGTTTGTGTGTAAGTGTCTGAGTATGTGTGGGTTTGCATATTAATTTAGGGATGTTGTGTTTATGAGTATGTGCTGGCTAGTGTAGAGGGGCTATTGTGTCTGTGGGTGTCTGAGTATCTGTGTGTGCATTTGTGTGTGAGAGAGGGATATATATATATATATATATATATATATATATACATATATATATATATATAGAGAGAGAGAGAGAGAGAGAGAGAGAGAGAGAGAGAGAATGTGTGTGTGCATGTGTGTGTCAGTGTGTGCTCAATGGGAAAAAGTGGTTGCTGCCAAGCCTAACAACCTACATATGAGTCCAGGAGAAAACCAATTCCAGAAAGTTGTTCTCTGACCTCCACACATTCCCAGACACAGGCAGTAGTACACACACACACACACACACACACACACACACACACACACACAAGAAAAAACAAACCACAGACCAAATAAATTTTTAAGTTTTTATTGCATGTGTGTTAGTTAGGATTTTCATTGCTGGGAAGAGACACCATGACCACAACGACTCTTAGAAAGAAAACTGTTGTGGGATAATCTTTTTGTGCACTGTGAAGATATGTCTTTGCCAAGGCACCTTCTGATTGTCTTAATAAAGAGCTGAATGGCCAATAGGTAGGCAGGAGAGGCTAGGCAGGATTTCCAGGAAGAGAAGGAAAATTAGAGATGAACCTGGAACCACGGAGATGCCAGTGAGACATGGACCAAGTCAGACATGCAGAATGGAGGGGAGGTAAAAAGCCATGTAGCTGAATGTAAATTGATAGAAACAGGTTAATTTAAGTTGTAAGACCTATTTGGGGACAAGCCTAAACTAAAGGTCGAGCTTTCATAATTAATAAGAAGTCTCCATGTCATTATTTGGGGGTTGGCAGTGCAAAGGGAGTCCAACAAGAAAGCTTGCTACAGAAAACATTGAATTGGGGTGGCTCACTTACAGTTTCAGAGATTCAGTCCATTATCATCACGGCAGGGAGCATGGCGGCGAGCAGGCAGAGGTGGTGCTGGGGTAGCTGAGTGCTACACCTTGCAGGCAGCAGGAAGTCAACTAGGCAGTATCCTGAACATAGGAAACCTCAAAGCCCGCCCCCACAGTGACACACTTCCTCCAACAGGGCCATACCCACTCCAACAGAGCCACACCTCCCAATAGTGCCACTCCCTTTGGGGACCATTTTCTTTCAAACCACCACAGCTACCAACCTCTGCTTTGCCTCAGAGCAGTGGTATCTAGGTCACTGGGTGAGTCATGGGTGCATGAAGCAGGTAGTGACACTTTCCTTCCTAGGTCAGGTACAAAGCCGGTATGTTAACGACTAAGCTAGGTGAGCACATCCAGGGAAGACACCATTGTCACTGCAGCTTCCAAACTGCCTCTGTTCTCAGATAAAACTTGATGGCACATGCCGAGCATGCCCAGAGGCATTTCCATCCACCATTTTAATCTTTTTTTTTTTTTTTTTTTTTTTTTTTTTTTTGGTTTTTCGAAACAGGGTTTCTCTGTAGCTTTGGAGCCTGTCCTGGACTAGCTCTGTAGACCAGGCTGGCCTCTGCTACCTTCAAACATTAAAAGTGAAGCATTTGTGGAATGTGCTGAGTTCTGGCTTGGGGTTTGGTTTTGTTTTCTAAGACCAGGTCTCACTAGTGCAGGCTAGCCTAGAACTCAAGAGATCCACTTGCCTCTACCTGCTGAGTGCTGAGATTAAGGATGTAAGCAACCATACCCACTTTTTAGGTTTAAATTGGAATTTCCTAATTACTTAGCATTTCAGCCAACAGAGAGGAACTGGACAGCTGCTAAGAAGTTTTTAAGTCTTTGTCTTTCTGAGACATGAAACTGAGCTGACCTTTGGCCCTTTATGTTGAAATGTGGAACAACTGTTCCTGTGCTTGTGAAGTGTCCGCCATGCACACATGCCTTGTTTTAAATTAGACATCATTCATGACTCTATTCCAAAGCAGTTTATTGTTCTTTAAAAAGGGAATGTGCAGGCTGACAGTCATGACCTCTGACTCCAGCCCCAGCAGACAGTGCCAGAACTCCAGGAGCATGTGTCTTGAGGCCTGTTTCTCAGTCCTCACCTGGCCAGCCTCAAAGTCCAGCTGTAGCTTCTATCCACTTCCTAATAACATTCAAAGCAGCAGCGACTGCCCCTCTGCACACAAACCATCTAAGCCCCAAATGATTCAAAGGTTACACACGGTTATGCACATTTAAAATACATAGAAAAATAATAATTAGGATTTATACAAATTAGATTGTTACAAAACAACATCACTACAAGAAATACATCTTACATCCAAGCACAAAAACGTGGACATATGCATGTGTAAGTGAGGGTGAGAAAAGACATTTATTTCAGAATGCCGGGTGGGAGGCACAGGGTAAGCTCTCATTACGGACACACTGGAAGTTTGAATCTGCCAGCAGAAGCCTCCAATTCCTTTTTCAGCTTCTGTGCGGTTTCCCAGGGCTCACACAGCTGTCCCTCTCTCCAGGTTCTGCTTGATCTCAGCTGTGTACTTCCCGTAGAACCTCTCCGCCTTCTTGTTGAACTTGGCGTTCCTTTCATTGATGTAGTCGATGTCGGCATCATCATTGTAAGGACGTCTTCGGCTGTATTTGTCTCTCTTTTCAATTCTGGGGGAAGGAAGGGAGTTAGGAGGTTCAGAATCACCTTCCCCAGGCCTCTTCATGCTCAAACTCAAGGATCTGCCTGCCTCTGCCTCCCAAACCCTAGGAATGAAGGCGGTGACCACCACAGCTGGTCTAACTGCCGCCTTCTTTGAGCTTAAAAAATGAACAAAAAGTTCAGGAGAGAATCAGCATTCATACTAAAACACCTTGGGGGACAAAAAAGCAGGCACAGCTTTCATCAGACGGTGATCTCATTAGCAGACCCTTAGTGTGAGCGATGAGATCCAGCAACTAGAGCCTCTGCTCACAGCACTTCGGAACGTCTTCACGGTAGCCCATACCTGTACTCTGAGCAATTGGGAGACAGAGGCTGGAGGACAGCCACCTGTTGGGAGACCAGCCTAGGCTATATAACAGAACCTGTCTCAAAAATCCAAAACAAAAAGAATGCTTCTAAAGATGCTAAAAGTAGGGACAAAAAAGTGTGACTTTGGGGTGAAGCACCCTAACAATTCTATCAGTGATGCCAAGCACTGGGCAAAGTGTGTGGTACACACCACTGCACCCTGGACCATCTGTATGGTCCTAACGCATAAATGTTGTCCTCTTCATCAGAAATAAAAATGGTCAGGCACTCTGGAGGCAGTGGTAGAAGGATCTCTGTGAGTTTGAGGCCTGCCTGGTCTACATAGTGAAATTCTATCTAAAAAAAGAACAATTAAAACATAATAAATAAATATGGCCAGGTAGAGACTGACAGAAGCATGCAGGCACACAGGCACACAGGCGCTCGCTCGCGCGCGCTCTCTCTCTCTCTCTCTCTCTCTCTCTCTCTCTCTCTCTCTCTCTCTCTCATCTCAGCACTACTTGAGTTCCATCCCAGGCTGGGCTACAACATGAGGCCCGTCTTAAACAGGCACAACTATTAAATGCTTTAAGTTTGGACTGGACACCTAACCCAGGCCTTGGTACTGAAGGCCTGGTCCAGCTGACAGGGATACTAGAAGGTACTGGAACCTTAAGTGGGGCTTAAAGAGGAAGGTGGTCCTATGGGTGTGCCCTTGAAAGGACATTAGGACTCCCCTTCTCCCTACCAATCTGCCTGCTTCCTAGTCCTCACAGGCTGACTAGGCCTCCTAGCATGTACTTCTACCATGATCCACTGTGCTACCACAGGCCCAAGAAAATGGACTGAGAGCTCTAAAACCAGGGGCCAAAATAAGTCCTTAGGCATTTTGCTACAGTGACAGAAAGCTAACAGACACCACTGCAGTTCAATTATATCAATATCCCCATCTCCAAATCCTATGGGCTCAACCTGTACTCACTGTTCAGCTTCAAAACCATCAGACTTGGGGTCAGAAGTGAGCTGTATCAGCACTGTGATCTTCAAGTCATCTGAGCACATCAGTCTCAGATCCACATCCCACGCACTTTCTCATGAAGTATAGAACATTCCAGGTTGCCCTACTGAGTACTTACTGCTTTTCCAGATCTAAAACCATTCTGTCAATTTCCTCTGAGGAAGGCACATGTGTCCCATGGAGAAGACTGTTGGATGTTGGGAAAAAATCTTCTCCACTGAGAAGACAGCAAGAAAGATTTCCAGTCAGACATGAGTGCTCCAGTCTCCAATTTCAATAAATATACATGTATTGGTGACAAGAGAGATGCATAAATATACTTATTTACACAGCAAAGGTAAAGGAAGGAAAGAAAATGCAGGCTCAGAAAAGATGAGCCAGGCTAGGTGAGTCTGCTAGAAAGCCAGCCCCAGGCAGGACTCTGGGTCCCAGGCCAGTCTGGCTCACACAGTAACAGCTTCATTCTTCAGATGCATAGAGTGGCCAGCATATAAAGGACTTGTCAAAGGTCACAAAGAGCTGGGAGCAAAGAGTCTAAGGTTATTTCTGTGCATCAAAACAGGAGCCTGGCTGGGCATGGTAGCACAAGTCTTTAATCCCAGCACTAAGAGGCAGAGGCAGGGGCAGGCAGAGACCAGCCTGGCCTACAGAGTGAGTTCCAGAACAGTCAGAGCTACACAGAGAAACTCTGTCTCCCCACACCCAAAAAAAAAGAAAAGAAAGAAAGAAAGGGGAGGGGAGGGGAGGGGAGAGGAGAGGAGGGGAGAGGAGAGGAGGGGAGAGGAGAGGAGGGGAGAAGAGAGGAGAGGAGAGGAGAGGAGAGGAAAGGAGAGGAAAGGAGCCTGGCTGGGCATAGCCGCACACACCTTTTTTTTTTTTTTTTTTTTTTTTTTGGTTTTTCGAGACAGGGTTTCTCTGTGTAGCTTTGTGCCTTTCCTGGAACTCACTTGGTAGCCCAGGCTGGCCTCGAACTCACAGAGATCTGCCTGCCTCTGCCTCCCGAGTGCTGGGATTAAAGGCGTGCGCCACCACCGCCCGGCTGCCGCACACACCTTTAATCCCAGTACTTGGGAGACCAAGGCAGGATGATCTCCGAGTTCCAGGACAGCCAGGGCTACACAGAGAAACCTGGTCTTAAAAACAAACAAGAGTCTGGCCCACCTGCCACAGCCAAGCCTACTCATACAACCTCTCTGCTTTCATGCCACAGCTCTGAGCAGCTGTGAATGAAGAACACTGAGGCCCTTAGTCCATCTGGTCCTTTACAAAGCTGACCTGCTCCAGCCCCAAAGCATTCAGCTCCTACAAGAGCACCTAGCCCTGATAACCTGAGTTTGCCACCTGAAAGTCTCCGAGGGAAATCAAGGCTTAACTACTATGCAATGGAGGGAACAGTAACTAGTATTATCAAAACAGAGACTATCAAAAGACAGCCACTGATAATCCACAAATCACTATTAAATTGAGTCTGCTCAGGCAAGCTGGCAAACACCTGTAATCCCAGCACTCAGGAGATTGAGGCAGAGGATTGCTGTGAGAACAAGGAGAGCCCAATCCACACCGTAGGAATGTCTCAAGTAAGTAAACAGCTAGTTTAGCTAGTTTGTATTTACAGTGTCTGTAAACATCTACTTGCACCCACCTCCCCAGAACAGCCTCGCATTCCAAGGACTTACTGCTTTTCCCTCTGCCGCTCATAGCTTTCCATGTCAGGCTTGATCTGCTTGGTCAGCCGGTGATACTGGCGTAATTGGGCAGCAGCATAATCTAAACAAAGTGAGAATCAGAGGTGATCTGTGTCCTTATCTAGGCACTACTTACAAGAGAAAACTCAAAATCATTATTGCCCTACAGGCACAAGACACTACACTAAGCACAGCCTCTACCCTGAACGGGTTGAAAGGAAGACTGGCTAATTCTTCAGGGGTGGCAGCACACTTCTTAAACCCATCACTCAGGAGGTTGAGGCAGGAGGACCCTGAGTTTGTAGACTGCCTGGGCTAAATACATAGTGAAACTACAGAACAAAATGGCAACAACAAAGGCTAACTTTACACTAAGGACCAAAGCAGCCAGCAGACTGACAGGTGGCCCTGGCTTCTCCCTTGACACACCAGCATTCTCCTTGGCCTCCTAGACTATTCCAAGAATGAAGTTCCATGGGCATGTGCTCTCACTAAAGCAGAAGCCTTGGTCCAGTAGGCCCATTCAGTAAAGCAGAGGTCAGCACAAGTTAGCTGTACCTGAAAACCCCAGGTCAGGGTTCCTCCTCTTCTTCCTTCTCTCCCATCTCTCAGCATCTTCTGCACTGATCTCCAGCAGCTTCACTTTCTCGTAGTCTTCTCCTCTTGCCGCACACTCCTAGAAAGACAGGCAGCGCCGCTACCCACCTGCCCCACAACGCTCGCCTTCATTTTTGTTTGTTTTGGTTTTTTGAGCCCAGAATTGCCTCAAATTCAAAGAAATCCTCCTGCCTCAGCTTCACAAGTGCTGGAACTATAGGCATGACCCACCATGCCCAGCTATTTGACCTACTTTAAATTAAGAAAAATCTAATCAAAGTATCAAGTATAAGACCATCACAGCAGCCCAGTTGGTAAAAAGTGTTTGCTGCCAATCATGACCACCTGAGTTCTATATCAGGACTCACATAGTGGAAGGAGAGAACTATAATTTGTCCTCTGACCTCCACTCTTGTGCCCACATACATACAAACAAAAATGTAATAAAACTAAAATCAACAAGAACAGAAGAGAGCAGGTGTCAGACCTGTTATAAATATTTTGCAGATGTTAACTCACAGAATTCATAATTCATTTAAGTAACCATTATTATAATCTTTGTCCTACAGACAAAAAAAGTAAGGTTCAGCCAGGCAGTGGTGGCACACGACTTTGATCGCAGAACTTGGGAAACAGAGGCAGGCAGATCTCTGTGAGTTCCAGGACAGTCAGAGCTACACAGAGAAAACCTGTCTTGAAAAGCCAAAAAAGAAAGAAAGAAAAGAAATAAGGTTCCCTGAGGTAAATGACTTGCCCACCTACTCGGCTACCAGGATCTCCTGTCTCAATGAAGGAGCAACTAGGGCTTCCTGACCTTTTTCTTTTCTTCCTCCTGAAGCTCCCACTCCAAACGCGCTTTCTTGGCTTCCCAGTTTGCAGGTAACTTAAGTCTTTTATCTTCTTCCACAACTTCCTGGTGATTTAACTTACGAGCTTCATTCTGTACGGAAGACAAAAGACAGTCAGGTAAAACAGGAGAGGGACCCAAGTAGACCCTGTCTTCTTGCAGTGACTAAGTGACCCATTTAATGCTGCAAGCAATAGAAAGCCACCCAATGACTTTAGGCACAGGAATAGACGTATAAAGGCACACCACTGGATGAGACTGTTGGGCTGCAAAGCTCTGCTGCTCCAGGGCCCTAGGGCACCGTCGACCTTGCCTGTTCAGTTGGGTGGTCCCTTTATTAGCAGAATAAAAGTTGGCAAAGTGCCCTCGCTGCACCACACCACAGCACATGAGGAACTGTATTGAAAGGTTGCAGCATTAGGAAGGTTGAGAACCACTGTTTACAGTGTAAACTTTCAGAGGTGTGCTGGTCCATTTATTTGTTTTGTTTTATATTCTTGGAGGCTCAAAGACCATTTTTTAAAAAAAATAGTTCCTCTGAACCAGCAAGTTGGCTCAGTGGGTAACGGTGACTGCCACATAGCCAGATGACTTCAATACCTGGAACCCACATTGTGGGAACTTTAAAAGGGTGGGAAGGAGTCACACCATATAACGTGGGAGGATTATTGGGGGAAGGGCAGAGACCGGTCCTGGGGAAGAGAGCAAAGGAAGAAAAAGAGATGGGAGGTGGGCAAGGCCCACCATTTATAAGTAGTGAATGCACAAAGGGGGTGCTCTTAGTGGCTGCAGCTGAGGACATATCCTGTCAGGACCCTAAGGGCAGGCCAGTACAGATGCCTAAATGCTAACACACACGATAGGAGAAAACTAACTTGCTCCTGTCATCTACATGCACTTCATGACACTTGAGCACACACACATACACAAACACCAATCATAAATGCATTCTCTCCTCCACTGTTACCTGAGTTCCAGGGATCAAATTCAGATGGCCAAACTTGTACAAGGGCCTATAACCACTGAGTCATCTCAGCAACCTAAGGACCATTTTCTCAAAGTTCAAGAGAAAAAACAAGTCAAGCAAGCTGTAAATCTTGGCAGGTGCCCAGAGAAGGGAGGTAAGAGAATGATATAGCCATGCCTTTTGAGTTACATTCCAAAAAAAATAAACAGGTCAGCAAAAGGGGTCAGGGGGCAAGTAGCCACACAGGGAAGTGAGCAGGAGCTGTCGTCAGAGAAAGAATGATAATGTTCAGAGTGTCTGGGCAGCCATGCTTAGGATTTGGGTGGGTATCCAAACAAGAGATGAAAAGTAAGCTATACTTTTTTGTTTTGGTTTGGTTTTTCGAGACAAGTCTTTCTCTGCGTAGCCCTGACTGTCCTGGAACTCACTCTGTAGACCAGGCTGGCCTCGAACTCACAGAGATCCGCCTGCCTCTACCTCCCGAGTGCTGGGATTAAGGGCGTGCGCCACCACCGACCAGCATGTTACACTTTTTGAGTTTGAACTTGGAAAAGAGGGCAAGTGTGTGCTCGTTGTTTTTAAGGTGAGGAAACTCTTACTAAAAAGTTTCTTCCTATTTCTAGCGAATTTTTTCCCTAGATGAAAATGAAAGTTAGAATCATGGGGCAGGGGAGCTGTTAGGAACAGAACTAATTAATCTACCCCAGATAAATTAAGTCATGGGGGTGGGGCCTGGGCGGAGCGAGCGGGAGTGGCCTTCGACGCCTGTCAAAGCGCTCTCCGAGTGAGTTCAGACCCTCCAGCCGGCATCTTCCGGTCCCGGGACGCCCGGCCTGGCCCGTGTCCCCGCCACTCACCCGCTTCAGATGCAGCTCGCGGAACTTGCGCAGTCTCTGCTCGCGCTTCTGCGCCGCCAGCTCTTCGGCCGCCGAGGGCCGCTCTTCCGCGCCGTCCGCGGGCACCTGCGGTCACAACCGGCTTCAGGCTCGGCGTCCCCTGCTGCCACAGCCCGGGCCTGGGCCCGACACCCCAGGAGCCGCGCCTGGACTCACCTCATGTCCCACCCCGGCGTCACCCCGATAAAACCCTGCGCGAGGCCGGGGGTACTCACCTCAGCTTCTGTCGCAGCCGCCATTACAGCCTTCTCTCTACTTCCGGCAACAACACGGAGCACTTCCGTCGGCCTCTAGTCCGCGGCTGCAAGCCCCGCCCCTTTCAGGGCGGGCTGCTGACGCTAAGCGTGGTGGTGCGCAGGCGCAGATTGCGCAAGCACTGGCCCGGGCGAGGAAGGAGCAGATAATTTTCTGATGTTACCGACTGCAGGAGAACAAGGCCGCCTTCCTCCTGTTCACTCTCATATCCCAGTTCCACAGGAACTACCAAAGTTACTAAGATAGTGCGGGAATACAACAGGGATATGTGAAACGTGTTCCTTTCTAATATGACAACTACTAATTAGATGAAAGATAGTTGAGTACAAATAGCTGTGGTGGCACACTCCTGGCATCCCAGCAGCCCAGTCTGGTCTAGGCCAATTTTAGGCCTAGTGAGTTCTAGGCCAGGTAACAAACACATTGAGACTGTCTCAAAAATAAAAGCAGCCTGGCACTTGGGAGGCAGAGGCTGTGTGAGTTTCAGGCCAGCCTGGTCTACACAGTAAGATCCTGTCTCAAAAAAAAAAAATAAAATAAATGAAAATAAAAAATAAAAGCACAAATTTAAATCTAAACGATGAGGGATAACCTATTTTCTGGTTGGAAAACTGTCACGAAAACATACCACGTAGTATCGCAAATGAGTGTTTGTAAATGTATGACACCTGAATTCCAGGGAGATTTTTTTTTTTATTGGTGTTTTTGTCTGTTGATTCCTTGGTTGGTTTTTGGTTTTGTGTGTGTGTAGACAGGGTTTCTCTGTGTATCCCTGGTTGTCCTGGAAGAAAAGAATAAGGAGCTGGTGATGCAGTTCAGTTGGTAAATCTCCAGCAAGACATAGAGCAGGTGTGGTGGTACAGGTGTTACCCCAGCACTCAGGAGTGGCAGGCAGGATCAGAAGTTCAAGGTCATCTGGGTGTGATAGCACAGGTCTTTAGTCCCAGCAGAAGCAGGAGGATGTTAAGCTAATCCATAAGACCCTGTTAAAGGGTCTCAAGGATTTATTAAGATATCAAATGGGGAGAAATACACTCACGGATACAGAATAAAGTAAACGGCCGTCATCATCGTCGTCGTCGTCTTCCTCCTCTGTTCTGCCTGGAACAAACATCCAGTGTCTGACCACCCCAAGAGAGCACAAGGGCTCCCCACCCCCCACTGCCTTCCTCAGTTTTAAGCAGTTGGTACCCAGAAAAAACCACGCCTCTATCGTGGAGATCCCCAAGGTCATTGGCAGAGCGAATTCCCACAACAGGAAGATGAGTTCCAGGGCAAACAGGACTACAGAGAGACCCTGCCTCAAAAACCAAAATAAGCCGGGCGGTGGTGGCGCACGCCTTTAATCCCAGCACTCGGGAGGCAGAGCCAGGCGGATCTCTGTGAGTTCGAGGCCAGCCTGGGCTACCAAGTGAGTTCCAGGAAAGGCGCAAAGCTACACAGAGAAACCCTGTCTCGAAAAACCAAAAAAAAAAAAAAAAAAAAAAAAAAAAAAAAAAAACCAAAATAAATACAGACATACCAGAAGGAAATGGATTCAGCAAATGACAGTGGTGGACACTGAAGATGACAGACTTGTCAATAAAGGCAGATTCAGTATACACTAGAGGAATTGTAGAATTACAACTGTAGAATGAGACATCTCTATGCTGACATGAGAAGACAGTCACAGGATTGGAGACGGCTCAGTGGCTGAGTGTGAGCTGCTCTTATGATAGGACCCTGGTTTGTGGCACCCATATTGCCAACTGCCTGGAACTCCAGTTGTAGGAGATAGAAAGCCTTCTGGCAGTTACACCTATACGTACACACATAAATACATGTTCTAAGAGAGGAAGGAGGTTCCATTCCCAGCACCCACATGGTGGCTAGGACCATCCTTAATTCTAGTTCCAGGAAATCCAACACCCACATCTGACCTCTGTGTGCACCAGACATGCAGGTGGAGCATATATACATGCAGGCAAAACACGCATACATATTATTAAATACAGTAACTTCCTTATAAGTTCATTATTACCCTCCTAATAATATGTCATTTGATGTATGCGTTTTTTCTTTTTTGTTTTGTTTTTCAAGACAGGTTTTCTCTGTGTAGTTTTGGTGCCTGTCCTGGATCTCACTCTGTAGGCTGGCCTTAAACTCACAGAGATCCGCCTGGCTCTGCCTCCCGAGTGCTGGGATTAAAGAGATGCGCTGCCACCACAGCCCGGCCATCATTTGATGTTTTGTGGGGATTTTGTGCTACTGGAGACTGAATCCATGTGCTCTACTTTTGAGTGTGTCCCCAGCACTAAGTAAATCATTCTTGATTTTTTTTTTTTTTTTTTTTTTTGCTTTTCAAGACAGGGTTTCTCTGTGTAGCCCTGGCTGTCCTGAAACTCACTTTATAGACCAGGCTGGCCTGGAACTCAAGAGATTCATCTGCCTCTGGCTCCCAAGTGCTGGGATTAAAGGCGTGCGCCATCATTGCCCAGAAAATAATTCATTCTTAACCTGTATGTGAAATACTTGTTTACATCAATCTACTCACTGCTACCTTGAAAAAGAATGTGACCAAAAGCCACACAAACAATACAAGCTACTGTGGCTAGGAATACAAGTCTAGGTCACTGTATATTTAAATTTTTCATAGGGTCAAATTTCTCAAGGATGCTCTGTACAACTGAATGCAGTGACAGGAATATTCTTACTACCTGTACATTTTTTCCCAAAGGTGGTCTTTATCAAACAAGGTGGTGTACACCTTTAATCCCAACCCAGGGAGGCAGAGGCAAGTGGATCTCTCCAAGGTCAAGGTCAGCCTGGTATACATAATGAGTTCAGCTGTGGTGGACCACAGAGGTTTCCTAGTGAGAACTTACTCAGGGTCCCAGAATCTGAGCTTGCTTTACCCAGCAGGGCTGCATAAGGGGATGATTTGAACACGGGCAAGGTTACCAGTTGTTTGGAAGGGTCTACACTTGGCTGTGCAGTGTCTTTTGCCCCATCCCTTGACATTGTTATAAAAAGCCCTTTTGAATAAACAGAAGGGGCCATTGGGTAGTGATCCAGGCCCTGCTGAAGCTATCCTGTTTCTTCTGTCAATTAGGTCTATCTAATATTTTCTTATCCCTCTCATAAGAACCCTTCAAAAGGTGGGAGCTGAATTCCAGGACAGCCAGAGCTATGTAGACCCTCTCAAAAAGCTGTTGGAACCCACCTGGGTTTCCTGGTGGCTTTGCCCAGCAGGTTTGCATAGAGGATGATTGGACCACGGGCCTGAGTATCAGGTGTTTGGAAGCGTCTACACTTGGCTGTACCTAGCAAGGGGGAGGTCTTTGCTCCTCCCCTTGGCATTGTGACTAAAAAGCCCTTTGGATTTGGAATAAAGTTCGGGGCCCTCCCAAGGCTATCCTGTTTTTTTTCCTCTCACTGTCTAGTTATCTCTTTCTAGCTAATATTTCTCACTTCTCCCTACTCAAGAGTACCCTGGGTCATACAAGTGGCGGCTGATCTGCCACAAAAAAAAAAAATAAAATTCCATGGGGGGAAAAAAAAAGTCTGAAACTCCTAGGGACTCGGGGCAGGCAGCCTTCACAATCCTCCAGCCTCCAGAAGTGCTAGGATTATAGGAATGCACTAGCATGCCCTAGGTAAATAGTGCTGGGTTCAAAGAAACTCAGGGCAGTGCAGAGTATGATAGACAAGTACTCTACCAATTGAATTACATCCCCAGTCCACTACTTGTACTTTGAAGATAGCTGCTAGGCCACAATTAACATAGCTATTGGCTTGTTAGAAAATGAAGATCAAAAATACAACCTGGCACCAGGCACACGCCATTAATCCCAGCATTTGGGAGGCAGGGCCAGGCGGATCTGAGTTCCAGGAACGGCGCCAAAGCTACAGAGAAACCCTGTCTCAAAAAACAAACACCCCCCCCCCAAAAAAAAAAAAAATGGCTTTATCATCAATCTATCATATTTGAGGACTGAGACATAGTATTTATCCCCTGCTTTGAAAACCTTTTCTGCCCAATTAGTAAGATATTTGTTATACACAGTAAACTCCCAACACAACCTTGAGTGAAAGAAAGATGAACTGACCCTATCTTAGGTTAACTTTCTGCCTCTGTAAGAGGACAGAAATGGGGCTGGAGAGATGGCTCAGAGGTTAAGGTCCTGAGTTCAATTCCCAGCAACCACATGGTGGCTCACAACCATGTATGATGATTTATATCTGGTGGCCTCTTCTGGCCTGCAGTGCAAGCAAAACACTGTATATATACCTAATAAATTAAGAAAAAAAAAAATGACAGAGATGGAGACCTGACCTAATCATGCTTCTGATGAAAGTGCTACTGGGTTTCCAGCTTTCTTGAGTGTCTCTCACAGGCAAGCTTGGTTCTGAACCATCCTCATCTGCTTACTAATTCAGACCCTTTGTAAGTGTTGTGTCCCATCTATCCAGAGTTGAGCTCTTTATTGACAAATTCTCAGATTAATGGTTCAACATGCAGCCAAGCTGAACCTAACTGTGATACATGAGACTCTTATGCTTGACACTGACAACTGGAGGGGTTTGGGATTATTTTCTTGACTTTTAGTTTTTTTTCAAGACAGCAGGGGTTTCTCTATATGCCTGGCTTTCCTGGAATTCTGTAGACCAGGCTGGCCTGCTTCCTGAGTGACTGGATTAAAGGCCTGCACCAACACCACCTACCTGGCTTGGGTTTGTTTTTAACAGGTCTCTGCCCGGGAGCTTGCTGTGTAGTCCAGGACACCTTGAACTCAGATCTACTTGTACCTGTCCCTGCCTCCTGAGTGCTGGGAATCCCCAGCTAAGACGTTTTTAACACCACTTCTTTTTTAAAAGGTTACTGTATGGATGGCTTGACTGCATATTATGTCAGTTCTCCAAGTGAAACAAGGTGATGTCTGGATCCCCAGGAATTGGAGTTACAGATGGTTCTGGGACACCTGATGGATGTTCAGAAACCTGGGTCCACTGGAAGAGCAGCCAGTACTTAAACCACTGAGCCATTTCTGATTCCTACTACCATCAGGCTATACTTAAGGACACCTTAGCACTCAGGAGGCAGGCAGATCCAAGTTTGATTCAGGACAAGAGATCTACAGAGTGAACTAGTCAGGGATACACATTTAAAACTAAGTAAGAACAGCCTCCCCCCAACCCACCATACAAAGTCATTGCATTAATTAATAATCTTGTATTGTCTGTTCAGACTCGTTTCGGGATTAGGAAGGTTATCAGAAGTAGATCCATTCAATACCCATGAAATAAAGACAAATAATACAAAGTTTATTAACAAATAAATATACAAAATACACAGTACTCAACTGTGTCTTACAAAAAATTCACCCTCATATATATGCAATACTATACAATACTTACAAGTATATATAAGACTCCCATCTGTATGCAATTCTCTGGTCGGTCTGTGTTCTTATCTTCAAGAGAAACCTCAACTGTGAATATGTCACCATTAAGCATCTTTCTGGATTTTAGTCACATATACTGCCGAGAGACTCAAGCAGGTAGGCTAATGCTGGAGGACAGGAACTCAGTAAAGTGCAGTTTTAGGCAACCCCAGCCCCAGTTTTCCTTTAAACGGGTATCCAGAGTCCATAAGGACTTTTTTTCTTATCTATTTTTGGTGATCCTGATGATGTCTCTTCAGCAGCAGCTTTAGCTGTTTTCTGTAATGGCTTTGCTATGGAATTCTGTAAGACAATAAATTAAAGTCAACTCCCACAGATTATCAACACAAAAAAGTTTTTAAAAAAGCTTACATAGTAAAATAACACCCCAGATCCATTGTCAAGAATGATGTTTGGACACACTTACATTGGAGCTGAAGGCTATGTTTCTCTGTGCAGAAGATTTCTCACTGGGATTTTTATCTCCATCTTCAGTTTGCTTTGCTGAATGCTAGAGGGGCAGAGAATTTTGAACATAGCCTTAGTTTTTTGAATATTGTATAAAAAGCAGCCCATTGCACACAAATGTAGCTGTAGACACACAAACCAAATTCCATCTATTGCCACAGTTAACAAGCTAGACAACAAAAAAACTTGCTTCCACTTAACAATATTGATTTAGAGAGAAGTAGACACAACACAGCTCCCCAAGGATACCTGATTCCTACTTGGGATACAACTCATTTTTTTTTTTTTCTCTTTTTTTTGTCCTTTCGAGACAGGGTTTCTCTGTGTAGTTTTGGTGCCTGTCCTGGATCTTGCTCTGTAGACCAGGCTGGCCTCAACTCAGAGGTCTGAGTGGCTCTGCCCCTCCCAAGTGCTGGGATTAAAGGCGTGTGCCACCACCGCCGGCTACAACTCATTTTTGAGTAAGTGCAATAGAAAATGCTTTGTCAAAATAACAGAGGCATGAGAACTGTGCCCCAATCATCTCAAGGAGAAAGTACTTGCCTAAGCAAATAGTAGGCAGACCCCAAGGTCACAACAATACAAACTATCTCATTGTACTACTAACTTTTACCTTAAATTTCTATAAAGCAAATTTGAGATCCCTGGCTGGCCTCTTGATTCCTTATGTAGCCAAGGATGACCTTGAACAATCCTGTCTCCCAGTGCTGGGATCACAGGTATGGGCCACTAAACCCAGTTTACACCTGGGAACAACCCCAGGTGTTGTGCACCCTAGAGCAACTGAACTACAACATCCCCAGACCAAATTATCAATCTTAAGATTCAGGCTTTGCATTAAATTATAAGTACAGTGCAATGTGCCAATGCACATCTTTTGTAATTCTGGAGAATTGTAATAAACTTATCTGCAAGTGAAGCAGGCCTCTTCTTCTGTAATCTCTCAAAACATCTGGAATATATTGCATATATTATGAACGGGACATCTAGATCACAGATGCCCCACCATTACACAGTGTATCTAGACTGAATTGTCAAACTGCCTTACACAAAGAGCCCTAGCCCAAAACTCTAACATGCACATGGACTACCTTCAACAAAAACTAAACTTCAGTCTGAACATAAACTCTGGCCATTTTAACCCATGATCAATTACCAACAGATTTTCTTCATCATTGTCTGGAGACCACATTCATGATTTCTATAAGACAGAAATAAAGCAGATAAACTATACTGTATACTGAGCAGACGTTTGGGAACATAATGCTGTAAATGAAAGCTACCGATAGAGTGCTCCAGTCTCTAAAGACTAGAAAGAGTAAGAAAAAGACAAAGTAATATAGTCAATAATATAGTCGTGGTTTTGCTATGGAAAATCAAACCAAGTGTCAGAATGAAAGCAAGTTCATCATCTCCCAGTTTCCTAGGGGATGGTCTAGTATTTGTCAGATTAAGGTTAGTTTTGTTCTGGGCAAATGATAGAAGACGTCCCAGGAGGGCTGTCTATAGTAAACTGACAGAGGATAATGAGATCTGCAGGCAGTAGCCTTCTGAAGATACTTACCTCCATCTTTGCGCCACTGCTAGAAACAGCTGCCCCCTGGCTTGTTTCCTTGGCTACAGTTCGGAGACTGGCGGGCAAGTCAAAGTTGGCTGTTCCGAGAGCCTTTGCTGCATTGGCTTTTGCTATTTCTAGCAGCTCCATTCGATCTAAGGGCATTAAGACATTTATTACTCTCCAAGTCTCCTTAAGGCTCAAAATAAAGTGCCCCTCCCTTCTGTCGTTCTTCCCCCCAGCCCCCCAGGGTTTTTTGAGACAGGATTTCTCTGTTTAACAGTCCTGGCTCTCCTGGAACTCACTCTGTAGACCAGGCTGGCCTCAAACTCCAGAAACCCACCTGCCTCTGCCTCCCAAGTGCTGGGATTAAAACCACTCCCCATTTTTCTGTATAGCCCTGGCTGTCCTGGAACTCACTCTTTAGACCAGGCTGGCCTCAAACTCAGAGATCCCCTTGCATCTGGAGTGCTGGGATTAAAGGCGTGCACCACCACCGACAGGCTACAGTTAGTTTTGTTCTAACAGCATTGTTTTTTCTGAACTTTATATAGCCCAATTATCTCAACTACTAAACTAATATCGACACTGTCAGCACTCATGTTCAAACTTCATTATTTTAAAATATTAAGTCATCAAGTCACCTGACAGAAAAAGCAGGCAAAATGCACGGCTTTTTTTCCCCAGTAAATCGCATTTAAAAAAAAAAACAAACAAACAAAAGAGAGCGAGCTCTCCCCACCTTAAACTAAGTAATTTACATCGTAAAGGCTGTATTAAAACTGCCGGCAAGAAAGATAATGAGACTCCTTTGGCACCAAAAGTAAACACGCTGGAAGAGCGCCCGAGAGCGGTGCAGTCTACCTAGCATGTTAGGAGGTCCCGGTTTAATCTTATCAAATCTAACTAAACCACACCCTGGCCGGCTCAAGACGGCGATGGAAAAGAAATACAGGGAGGGCGGGGGAGGTGGCTCCGCTGATAGTGACCTGCATTCAATGCCCAGGACCCCAAGGAAGTGACACCAAGACCCACCTTTCTCAGTTAAGCGAAAGGGGGTCCTGCTCCTGCTGCGCGACCTGCTTCTGGACCTCCACCTGGGGCGATCCTCGGGGTACACCGTGCGGCCGAAGCCGTAGTAGCGCCGCCCGCGCGTGATCGCGTAGTACGACCTCCGGTGATACGACCTCCCGCGGGAGCGCGACCTGCTCCGGGAGCGGTAGGGCGACGGCGACTGGTAGTACCTCCGCGGCCGCCCGTAGTAACCGCTGTCGCGGTGGTGGCGGCGGCCGCGGGAGCGGGAGCGGCTGCGTGAGTACGACCGCGAGTAGCGCCTGTACTTGCGCTGATGGCGCCGGCGGGACCGCGACCGCGACCGCGACCGCCTGCTCCGCCGCGGCCGGCTGTGGCTGCGCGACGACGAGCGGCTGGAGCTGCGGGAGCCGGGTCCGGAGCTGCGGGACGAGGAGCGGCTGCGGGAGCGCGACGACAGGCGGCTGGAGCGGCCCGAGCCCGAGGTGGACGGCGACGCCTTCTCCTGCGGAGAGCCGGGCCACATATCGTTCACGTACTTGGACACGGCGGCCGAGGACATGACTTCCTTCTCGGGATCGGGCTCCTTCCGCAAACGCGACGGCGTCGAGGAACTACGGCAGAGGGCAAGGGTCAGGCCCGGAGGCGGGAGCGCGCAGCGCGCATGCGCGAAGAGACAAGGGCGAGCCCCTCCCCCTCCCCCCCACCGCACCGCCCCCACTCACCTTAAACCGATGACGTGTTCGCAAAGGCGACGAGAGAAAAGCCTAGCGGACACCTTCCTCTCAGACCGGAGACCCAAGGCGGCGGGAGTCTCGTCTCGATCGACCTAAGAGGACAGCAACCTCCACCTCCGAGGTCCGGACGCGAACTGAACAGAGTGACGACGTCAGCGTCGAAAATACCAGAACCTAGCGCGGAGCCTGCGCACAAACACCAGCGCGGTGGGGCGGGCTCTCCTCTCGTCCAATCGCCACTCGACATTCGCGCTCCGCCGCTTGCTTCGGGCTACGCCCTCGAGACGCGCATGCGCGTCGAGGCCGTCACGCCACCCCACCCCCACCCCACTTCCTCCCGGCCTTCTACATCCGGGTATTTTGAGGATTTGTTGTTTTCGGGGATTTTTGTTTGTAGGGTGGATAATTGGTTGATTTGGGGTTTTGATTTTTTTGAGACAGGCGCTACCTATGTAGCTCAGTCAGGCCTCGAACTCGCTGCAATCCTCCTGTCTCTGCTGCCCTAGTACTAGGATTACGGGCCTGTGCCGCCCCGCCCAGCTTTGTTTTCCTTTGTTATTTTGGCTTTTTTTTACTTTTTTTAACTTCCTCTTTTCGATCTTGAAATTGGGAGAAAGGCGGGGTCGCAGAAAATTTAGCGGCTCAAAAGGCGGATCAAGGACACGGAAGACCATGGCGACCCGCCCAAGGCCTTTCCCCGGAGCAGCTGCGACCTAGCTGTCCGGGAGCTTGGGAGGGGACATCACACGGCCGGAAAATGCAGTTTTAGTATGGAAAGGGTGCTTTAACTTCCTTATTTGAGCTAGTAAAGGTAATTGGAGTCGAGACAGAAATTCCAAGACGACCACTTTTTTTTTTTTTTAGTTTTTCGAGACAGGGTTTCTCTCTGTAGCTTTGCGCCTTTCCTGGAACTCGCTTTGGAGACCAGGCTGGACTCGAACTCACAGAGATCCGCCTGGCTCTGCCTCCCGAGTGCTGGGATTGAAGGCGTGCGCCACCACCGCCCGGCAACGACCACATTCTTACTTTGAGGAGTAAGAATGATGATTGAGGGGGCTGGAGAGATGGCTCAGAGGTTAAGAGCACTGGCTGTTCTTCCTAGAGGTCCTGAGTTCAATTCCCAGCAACCACATGGTGGCTCACAACGGTCTATAATGAGATCTGGCGCCCTCTACTGGCCTGCAGGCTGAACACTCACTGTATGTATGATAAATAAATAAAATTTTAAAAAAAAAAAAAAAAAAAAAAAGAATGATGATTGATAGATCTGTTTTATATATATATGTGTGTGTGTGTGTGTGTGTATAATTGTGTGTTCCTGGTGCATGTGCAACGTGTTGGGTGCTGGAGCCCACAGAGGTCAGAAGAGAAGTCAGATCACTTGGAACCAGAGTTACAGGCGGTTGTGGGCGACAAGCATGCGAGTTCTGGAACCTCAGCCCGTGGGCTCTGTAACGCAGCAAAAGCCTTCTTAACAATGAGCCGCTGCTGCAGCCTAAGACGTCTGTCCTAAGAAAAATGTGATTAGCGCAGGACCTTTAAACTTATTTCCAGGACAGATTCCAAACATTCATCGTCATAAAGCATAACAGTGACCTTGAAAATTGTGGGTAGCCGGGCGGTGGTGGCACACGCCTTTAATCCCAGCACTACAGAGTGAGTTCCAAGATAGCCAGGACTGTTTCACAGAGAAATCCTGTCTCAGAAAAAAAAAAAAAGAAGTCCATAATTCAGGGGAAGTCTCTAAAAATGTACTAACGTTGCTTTTTTTTTTTTTCTCTGTAGTTCTGTTTCTGGCTAACTGTACTTGTTAACTGAAGTATGTCAACCAATGATACGTTTTTTTGTACTTAAAAGCTCATCCTGAGAAAGAAAGGCTTGGGGTACCCTTGGATCCCAAACACCCAGTGTAATCAGTCACTGGTTGGTTAATAAATACTTTCTATTGGCTTAAGCCCATGTCTGCGCAGTCTTCTCTGGTGGGTACCCCACAACACGAGACACTCATAACCCATAAATTAAAACCCCTACAAAGGCTGTGAAGTAGTGATGTATTCCTGTAATGCCAGTACCCAAGTTCTTAGGAAATTTTTTTTTCTCATCTTGTGGTCGTGGCCCTCACTTCTAATCCCCGCTGAGCCAGAGGCAGGAGGATTCTCTTGATGCTCCATAGACACCTGCCCACCAGGGACTTTTGCTGACTGTTCTCAGGAAGCTGTGTGGCAGACAGAAACCTACCCCATTTCCAAATGGGGAACTGGGGTAGGGGAAGGAGTGAACCAGCTTTAGGATGCAGTCCCAGGCCTCTGCTTGTGAGTCGGAAAGAGGCTGTAGGGGTCTTGGCAGGAAATTCAGAGCATCTATCAAGTATTCGCCTGAAAAAATGGTGACCTGTAATACACCTGTAATCCCTTGTGAGGTGGAAATAGGAAAATCAGAAGTTCAAGGTCATAGTGAACTCAAAGCCAGCTTGGGTGTCATTAGACTATTTCTCAAAAGAAATAATTACTATTAGAATTCTGAGTGTCAACAGAATCTTGAAACAGTAGTAAGCAGACCCCCCCACACACACATCCTCATATCCCTGCCACACCCCACACACAAGGCTGGTGTCTGTGTTCAGGATAATCACCCTGGGCTAAAGCTGCAGGTGTTACTCTTGCTATCCATCCCCAGGGCATCAAGAGCCAGAGCCAGAGACGAAGCAGGCTGATGAGATGATTCAGAGACCTTCACAGGGGAAGCTGGATCCTTGACTTTCCTGCAGGAAAGAGCTTCAGGAGGCGCCAATCTGATGGGGAGGCTGAGCTTATTAAAGGGATTTTAACATATATTTAAGTGTGAGGGTTGCTATGTACTCAGGAAAAGGATGAGCCACACCCAAGAGGAATGGTGAACTACACTGTCTTTACCAAAGCCAAGGGGGGGTGTAGGGTCCGGGGAAATGCTGAAGAAAGACCCCAGACTCAAATAGTATGTAAGAACAAAGAGTGTTTATTATACCACATGCATGTGGGGTCCTTTACCTGTACAAAATGGTGCCGACCCTGAAAAGGACGTGCAGGCTCCTTTTAAGCACAGCTAAGGGGAATTTCAGGGTCAGCTACATAATTGGTTAAACAGGCAGCAGTTACATTAGTGTATATCTTTAATTGGCTGAGGTTTAGTCTTATCGTTTTTTGGACACATCTGCACAAACTTGGACGTGACTCAGAAGAGGGCTGCTGGGTTTGTCCTTGAGACACTGTGCGGCTGACTTAGACCCTCTGTGTTTATTCTCTCCCTCGTCCCTGAATGTAAGGGCCTTGTCGATAAATAGCCCTTTGATGGGAAGACACCTGTTTGCCCTTCTCAGAGAACTGGAGCCTAAATTCAGTTGTGAGGGTGGGAGAGTTGAACCCTCCAGGGGAGGGAGGTGGTACTGCAGAGATGGCTCAGCAGTTAGGAGTGCACGCTCGCCCTGCCTTTCCAAAAGACCCAAGTTCAGGTCCCAGCATCCACACGGTGGCTCAGAACCACCCATCACTCCAGTCTTAGGGGATCTGAGGGTTCTTCTGACCTCTGAGGACACCAGACACACATTTTTATTTTATTTTTATCTCATTTTTTGGTTTTTGAAGACTGTTTTTCTGCATTCCTGGTTGTCCTGGAACTCACTTTGTAGACCAAGCTGGCCTTGAACTCACATAAATCCGGCTGCCTCTGCCTCCTAAGTGCTAGTAGTCCATCGTCATGCCAAGCTTAGACTCTACACACTTTTAATTAGAAAAAGTAAGAAGGAGACAGGATTTCAGGCTGAAGCGTGGGCTGGTCTGAAAGGTATCTTGTAGTCCAGGCTGGTCTCAAAAGTCACAGCAACACACTTGCCATTGTGTTATAAATACACTGTGTCAGAAGCAAACATGGACACATTATGCCTTTCCAGCCTGTCAGAACTCGTTGAATAATATTAAATTCACCAGCCGTGTCAGTTTTATTGGCAGCAATTTGCCAAGTACCAACTGAGCTATCTCCCCAGCCCCAAACACAGCTCCTTTATGCCAATCTTCACTACTAACACTCACTCTCAGTCACACAGCAAACAGCATACAGTAAATCTATATATGTGTACATTTTGGTTACAGAATATCCACAGAGGGTTAAAGAGGTCATAGCTGAGCCCAAGGCATGTGAGAGACATCAAATAAGAGGCAAGCAGAAGGCTGATAGGGAGGCAGAGAACATCTGTGTGGGAATAAGATAATGAAACCCAGTGGAGGTCTGCTGGAGCTCCAGAGCCCAAGCTGAGCAGAGCTCAGGGCTGGGTGGAGCTCCCTGCTCAAGGTGTAGGACTACAGCTTCCGTCATAGTCTCATGTAATACCACACATGGGGACTGAAATCTTTCAGTTGTATTGGTCTGCATAACAGAATGAGAAATGTCCCCCATGGTCCTGGGCATCTGAACATTTGGTTCCCAGTCAGTGGCCCTGTTTGGGTAGGTTTAGGCGGGGCAGCCTTGCTGGAGAAACTATGTGACTGGGGGTGGAGTGTGGGATTACAAAGCCTTGTCCCATTCCGAGTTCTCAAGCTCATGCTTGTGATTGAAGATGTAAGCTCTCAACTTCCTGCTCAAGCCACTATGCCTGCTACTTGCTGTCACCTCCCCCCCATGATGGACTCGTCCCTCTATAAACAAAAATAACCTCTTTCTTCTATAAGTCGCATTGATCGTGGTATTTTATCACAGCAACAGCCAAGTAGCTAATACAGCCAGTAATGGTCAAAAGGAGTAGAGACAACACAAAGAGAAAGGGGTGCTAATGCTCTTCTTTCTAGTCCTTAGCTTGGTAGAAGTTTCAGTAAGAGCTGGCTTAGTAAGAGACATTTAAAAGGGTTCATTAAGATCTGTCTTTGGCCAGCAGTGGTGGCACACGCCTTTAATCCCAGCATTTGGGAGGCAGAGGCAGGCAGATCTCTGTGACTTCGAGGACAGCCTGGTCTACAGAGGGAGTTCCAGCCAGGGCTACACAGAAAAGGCAGAGGTGAAGGGAGCTCTGTCTTTTGGAGCTGGGCTATGGCTCACTGGTAGAGTGCCGACTTAGTATGTGGAGGCCCTGAGTAGTAACATCCTCAACAGGGACATCGATAGAATTAGAGAAATAGACAGAGAGAGAGAGAGAGAGA